GCACTGTTGTACAAAACAGCATGCTGATTTTGCTAGACACCTGAGAACATGTTTAACCTGTTTGGTAATACAGGAAACCAGGTACCTATAAATGTTAGCATGGCCTAACATCTCAGCCACCTGAGCCAAGGCACACTCTGAAACTCTGTGTTTGAAATCTCTCACATCTCCTTCTGTGCCTCACTTCCCCATTCTTTAAAGCTTCCCCCTTTTCCAGGCACCAATATGATCTGTACAATACAGTCCTCCACAGGCTCTTCTTCCATGTGATCCCTTAAATACATCTAGAATATGTCTGTCAATAATTAACAGAGGTACTATTTATTTCCTGGGATATTAGTATCTAGTGGAATCTTTCATAATCTATCCATATGGTTTTCATAGTGAAATTAAAGCCCTATGACATCCTGCAGTAAATGGAGGATCAGATATGTGGTGAGTGGAGGTGCCTTCCCCAAATCTCTCAAATCTCTGAGAGCGTTTTCTGCCTCCGATTTCAGACTGGCTAGTATCATCACCTTCTTAGAACTTCCTCCTAAAGAGACCAGAAATCTGCTAATTTATAGTATAAGAAGTTTCATCTGCATTAGCGTTCTTGGTTAACTCTTCCCAATGTAACCAGATGCTCCTACAGTCAACCAAATTTCAGCCAGAAAGCAGCTCTCAGGACTTCACAGCTAGGCTTGTTTGTTCAGATGGCTCATGCAGACTTTGTGCAGCGGACCCTTCCTTTTTAGAACTGATTTATTTTTTCAGCACCAAAGGTTGTAAAGACTATATAAGTGTGAAATGTGTATTTCCCGTTCATTGACATTATAATGTTAAAAAGGTCATAGGAAGTCACTGATTCCTCTTCTACCCTCTCTTTCATTTTCTACTCCTCTTAGCTTTCCTTCCTCTTCCCCAAACTAAAGCCAGAGAAGAAACATTTAACGATTCTACATCAGTACCCTCAAAATCCTCTGCTACTTTTCTTTCCACCTCATTTGCTCTGATGACCCTTAAACTTGGACTGATCCAACAATCTGCCTTATCTCTTCCTACACCTAGGCTGCCAGACACTGGTAGAGCAAACCACACTTGTATTTTGACTAAAATTTGGGGATATCCAAATTCAGGGTAGTGCTCAATGCCCCTTAGAATTATTTGTGTGTGGAGGGGGGGGGGTAGTTAGCCAGTACTGTCTCCCATTGTTCATTGTCTATTCCAAATATTCTCTATTCTCCTCAAGTTTCTACTTTATTTATATTAGCAAATAACCTTTCCTCCACTATGAACTCCAAATTCTTTTAACTTCTCATCCCAAACACATAAAATTATCAGTATATACTACCACCTTTTATTCTTTCTATCTCAAAGGGAATATCTTTTTCTGCCATTTAAACGTGTGATTTAAGCTCCATTCCAACTCTATTCATTCAACCACCCATTCAATCCATAATTATTAAATAATTATTATGTGCCACTATGCTAGAAGCTTATGGTACTGTACTAAGCAAGGAAGATTTCCCCTGCCCTTAGGAATTTCTAGATTCAGAAGATAAAGGAAAAGTCAATAAGTTAATGCTCCTACAAAAATACCAATGACTGTAAGAGAGAATAAAAGGAGGGTAGTTAAATTTTGATTGAATAGTCAGAGAAGGCTTCTCTGTGGAAGCAATATTTCAGCTAAGACCTAAATGTAGAGAAGCCAACCATGAAGGCATAGGGAGGGTGGAAGTCATATTAGACTTTAAAGAAACAAAGCTGAAAGAGTTTAACATCATTTAAGGAATTAAAAGAAGGCCTAAGTGGCAGTGGGAGTGTGTGATATGATAGTGGCAGTGGGAGTGTGTGATATGATAGTAGAATAACCCACAAACAGTTGGAGAGATGGCCAAAGGTCATACCATACTGGGTCCTCTAGGCTATGGTAAAAATTTTGGAATTTTTTTTTACGTTGCTCCACCGGAATCACTGAAGGATTTTAAACAGGAGAGAAGTGTGGATGTGGTGAAGAGTGGAAACAGAGAGNTGTTGTTCCACCGGAATCACTGAAGGATTTTAAACAGGAGAGAAGTGTGGATGTGGTGAAGAGTGGAAACAGAGAGTTTAGTTAGGAGACTTCAGCAATAATCCTGGAGGAAAATTATGGAAGCTCAAGAAGAAGGGGTGGTAACAGAGGAGGTGTAAAGTTGGAGCTGAGATATATTTTGGTAATACAACAGGCAGAGGTTAATGAGAGATTGGTTTTACTAACAGGAAGAGAGTGAATCTAAGAAAATATACATAAAGGTAGGTGGTGATGTCATTAATTAAGAGAGAAAATGCAGAGGAACTGGTTGGATAAAGTAGTGAAATAAAGATCTCTTCACAAACTTATGTGTAAGATGCCTATGAGACATTCAGAGGTGAGGTTAAGTAATTGGTTGGATATATAAGTCTGGAATTTAGAGGTGAAATCTGGCCAGAATATAAATTTGGAAGATAATATTTAAAGCTGTGGAAATGGATGAGATCATACAGTGGCATTGAAACAAAAACCAGGACCCACCACTGAGAATCTTCTGTTTAGAGAGTAAGAAGAGGGAAAAGCCAGTGAGTGATGGGTGAAAACCAGGAGAGTATAGTGTTCATGGGACAGAAAAAAAGAAAAAAGAAAGTGATCCAAGGAGGCAAGACTTGTCAATTGTGTCAGCTGCCACTGTAAGGCTGATTAATGCAAGGAGAGAGACCTTGCCAATAATCACATAAATCACTGATTCTTTCAACTATCAACTCTATTTGTGCATTCCCTGAAGCCAATAAATATGATTCTTCTTCTTCCTACTGAAGAAAGGGAGAGGGGCCTGACTCAGGGGTTGAACAATGACCTAGGATCCAGGAGATCTCGATTTGATTCTCCGTCAGGGCACATGCCTGGGTTGCGGGCTTGATCCCCTGTTGGGGGCCTGCAGGAGGCAGCCGATCAATGACTCTCTCATCATTGATGTTTCTTTCTCTCTCTCTCCCTCTCCCTTCCTCTTTCTGAAATCAATAAAGATATATTTTTAAAAACAAAAGGAAAGGAAGAGGGAACAGGGTGACAATTTTCCCTGCATCCCACCTAGCTATCCTATCTCTTTTCTTTCTAGGTTTCCTCCCAAAATAGTCTATAAAGTAGTCTACACTCCCTCATCAAACTTTTACTCTAAAGTCATTGTATTCTAGCCCTACCCATTCCCTCCTTGGGGAACTTTAGTTCTATTACCTCTGGTCTTTGATGGTCACCACCAGAGATTCTGAGAATTGGACTCTCACATTAGAGATATTTTGCTTTCTGAAAATAAATTCAGAGTTTATTATTGTTATTTTTTAAACATATTTTTATTGATTTCAGAGAGAGAGGAAGGGGGAAAGGGAGGGATAGAAACATCATTGATGAGAGAGTCATTGATTGACTGTGCCCTGCAAGCAAGATCGAGCCCGCAACCCCAGCACAGGCCCTGTCTGGGAATCGAACCGTGATCTCATGGATCATAGGTCGATGCTCAGCCACTGATTGAATTTAACTATGGACCAACTTTACAGTGCTATGCAAATGTGATTTTACTATGATTTTTATTCATACCTGTTTCTTATTTATGAACTAAACAAAGTGCTTGTTTATAATAAGTTTGTTAGGTAACAAACTATGTTATCTGGCAGAAGGGCCTGCTTCCCACAAAATGCCAAATTACTGCCAGCTGCTTTTACTCTTGTATTGTTAAGACTTCCTGAATGTTTATTTCTGGAGCAAGATTTGACCCAGACTTTGAGTCCCAACTCTACCATTTACAAACAGTATAATCATGGTCTAGTCTCCCCATGACTTCAATTATTCACCTATAAAAAGAGAAAGATATGCTGTTGGTTTGAAGTTAAAACTGAAATAATGCAGAGGGCCTATAGTATTTACTTATGATCACTATAATTTAATTATTGCATTGCTAACAGTTGTGTTAAAGGATGGCAAATACTCTTTGTGAGGTTCCACTGGGCACCATCCCGTGAATAGCAACACATGCAGGAGATGGAAAAAATGCCAAAAGTGAGTCGGTATGTAGTGCAAGGCATGGAAAAAAAAACAAGACAAATTACAACCCACCTGAATACCAACTCCCACTGTAGCCTTCTTCTCATTTTTATGCCAGCAAAATGATTTTAACTTTCAACTGTGGCTAATCTTTAGCAGAGAGTCTCAGCAAGAAACCCCCAAATAAACAGAGAAGATGAAGAGTTTAATTAGTATATATATATCATTATACATAACATGATATATATATAATTTGGTGTATATATATATTTGGTATTAATATGTTTAAGTTCAGAGTGGAAGAAAGATATTTCCTTTGGCACTTGGCAGAAGGCCAGTTGGAAGGACAATCATAAACTACTTGGTAGCATTATATAATTCTGAATGTTCGCTTGTGTTACATAATCTAATTAGGATAACAGTAGCTCCCATTTGGTGAATTTCTGTGCCAAAAACTGTGCTAGGCATTTTATGTACATTCTCATTTGGCTGTAAAACTCGCTTCAATAAGAACCATGGCCTCATCTTACAGATGAGGAAACTGAGGCATGGAGAGATTAAGGTATCAATGAATAAGGATCTTAGAAATATTTGTGGTGGGACTCAAAATAGTGTCTAACCATCTGCAAAGCCCACATCCTTCCCCCTACAGCGTGATCCTCCACAGGAAGTTCTCATGTATCGAATTGTTAGCCCATTTTTAGCAACTCCTGTTATTGGCTATTCTTCCTTTGCTCTTTTATACCCCTCCTCAAGAAAAAGCACACAATAGAATCCTCTTTGATATATAGATAGATGGATGGATAGATAGATATGTACATATACACACAATCCCACTCATTCATACATGATAGATAGATGATAGATAGATATGTGTATATACACACAATCGCACTCTATAACTTTTAAAACCATCCTGTGGATCTTGTTAGCACATCGCTTGTGCTCTGCTTGTGTTCTGGCCCAGGTGTGCAAAGCAGCTAGTTCACAATAACCTCCCAACAACCAGTATCATCATGTGCTTTGTGGATGAAGTGTGGTCCACTCTGCTGAGGTCTGTTCATAGTGTCCTCAATCGCTCTCCTCCGCATCTCATCAAGGAGATTCTGCTGGTGGATGACTTTAGCACTAAAGGTAAGAAAACCAATCCTGAAAAATGAAAGTTTGCTATAAAACAATTGAAGTTTGGCTCAATGGCAAAATTACAGGGCAATTTGATAAAACATATGCATTTTACAAATGCCAAATCATTGCTTCTAACTACCATCCAGGGCCCTGTTCAGTTAGCCTCCTCAAACTGCCTTTCAGCTAGACTTCTCTGTCATGGAGGAATGATTTTTTAGCTACAGCTCCTAGGAAATGGACACTTTGAAGTTCTAGAAACCAGAAGTTCTGTACAATTGCACAAACACCTTTTTATGGGATCCAATAAGCAAATACCCCACAATTAATGGGGTGCCTTTCCTATAACTAAAGTTAGTTAGACTATGGAAAACAAGGAAATAGAAGGCCTATGGCTTCTTCCTCAAGAGCAAAAAATATATTATGTTTTCAGTTAACTATTAAAAAGACAAACTGCCAGTGGAACCAGAGAGATGAAGTTCTAACAGAGTTCAAAAGCAGAATCCACCATGACAGGGCTTTACATTTATTTTGTTTATTACAGAGAAGAATCTCTTCGGATTGTCAAATAATTTGTATATGTAACTGGTCCCATAACTATCAGAGGTCCCATGACTGTCATGTTATGAATTCCCCAAACTCCAAAAAATTTTAGAAAATAGCAAAGAGATGGCAAACCTTAATGGAACAGCTTAGCCTTAATCAAGACCACAGTGACAGCCAGTTTTCTCAGCCTCAGAGTTCTGACCGGAATCACACAGAGCTCCAGGAGCAGTGAGATGCCTAAGGAAACTAATCGGAAGCTTTAAGAAAGCATAAACAGAAATAGTATGTAGTTACTAAGCAGATAATAGTAGAAGTGGCATATCCAGATATTATGGGACCTGAAGCTTCCATGGAGTCTCTCTAAGAAAAACAACCCAACATGAGTAGGAAAGTGAGCAGCTAAAGTATTCCTAAAAACCATTCCTCCTTGGGATACCCGTCAATAGCTTAATTGCACATAGAAGTGACTGCAAGGCACAGCAAAATATCTCATAAACACACACACACAAAAATGTTCCTTTAGCTGGATCCCTCTTTGGCCATCCAACAAGACAGGGTCGGTGTGATGGAGGGGGATGTGGCAGCAGGAAGTAACAGAGTTCTTAACCAATTACAGTTGCAACATCTTTCTTTTGCAGATTTTTCAGTTTGCATACAATGCTTAGCCTCTTCCCCGGGCCTTAGAAGGGGTTTTTTTAAGGGGGGAAGGGTTGTGCAACTTTATTTTCATTTATTTCAAGGTAAATTTGCCCCTTAGAAATACTCAGAAAAGGTGAACCTTCCTCTGTATAATTTGGCAACACTGAAAAGAATTTGGGATTTAAGAAAACAGTTCAGAGTATTGAGCCCAGATAAAAATTCATCCAAGAAAATGACATCAGAAAATAAAATCATGGCCAATAGAATAAAATTTCATATGCAACAGCATGATGAATCTCCAAGGCATTATGCTGAGTGAAATAAGTCAGACAGAGAAAGGCAAATACAATATGATTTCACTTAAATGTAGAATCTAAAAAAAAAATTAAAAATAAATAAATGAACAACAGCAAAATCAGAAACAAACTCATAGATACAGAGAACAAATTGATGATTGCTATATGGGAGGGGCTTGTGGAGATGGGTGAAAAATGTGAAGGGATTAAGGAGTACAAATTGCCAGTTATGAAAGCAGTCACAGGGATGTAAGTTACAGGGCAGGGAATATAGTCAATAACATTGTAATAACTATGTATGGTGTCAGACTTATTGGGGTGATCACTTTGTAAGTCATATACATATCTAATCACTATGTTTTATACCTAATACTAATATAATATTGTATGTCAATTGTAATTGAAAAATATTTTTAAATTTATAAATATCACAGTTTGGGGAGTTTGACATTGAGGAGGCACTACTTTTGGTATTATCCACTTTAAGTGACGTCTTACCTATCTTTACACTCTGATATAGATTACCTAAAAGATAATTTGGATAAATACATGTCTCAGTTTCCAAAAGTTCGGATTCTTCACCTCAAAGAGAGACACGGCTTAATAAGAGCCAGACTGGCAGGGGCACAGAGTGCAACAGGTAAGAAGCTGCTAATTTTTTGTTTTGATTATATTTTTGTTTTATTTTAATGTTTTCAAATGTGCATCAAATGTAAAATAATAGTACAGTTCATACCCATATATCTGTCATTTTTCACAGTAAGTGCTTCATCACAGCACATACACAGACACGTCTATACATGCACACTTGTTTTCCCTGAACGTTTGAAAAGGAATTTACAGACTTCATGACACTGTGCTCCTAAGTACCTCAACAAGCATCTCTGAAGAACAGAGACATTCTCTTATATAAGCACAACTTTCATACTTAAATATCACCTAATATATTATCTTTGCAAATTTTCTCATTGCTCCCAAAATATTTCATATAGCTATTTTTTTCTTTTGAAATTTGAAATCTAATTAAGTTTCACACACTGCATTTTGTTTGGTCTCCTTAGTCTTCTCAGTGTAGAACAGACAACACCACAACCATTGTTTGCTTACCATTGACTTGTGTTTGTGGTGGTGGTTCTTTATTTTTGAAGAGTATAGGCCATTTATTTTGTATAATTGACCACATTTTGAAATTTTTCCTTTCCTCAGGATAAATGTTTTTGGCATGAATACTATATAGAACTCAACTGCATAGGTGATGGGCATTGTATACTTACGATTTCAAATCAAGAGGCACATGATGTCAAGGTGCCCTGCTATTGGTTATACTAATTTGGGGTACTTGATTAAAATATTAACAGCTAGAGTTTTCATTTGGTAGTGAGAAGTTACTTGTGGGGTGATACTTTGATCCACACCAATATCTTGTTTTCTTTTTTTAAATATATCTTTTTGGATTTCAGAGAGAGGAAGGGAGAGAGAGAGAGAGAGAAACATCAATGATGAGAGTCATTTATCGGCTGCCTTAGGCACCCCACCCCCCCTTACTGGGGATTGAGCCTGCTACCTGGGCATGTGTCCTGTCAGGAAATCGAACCTCGATCTCCTGGATCATAGGTCAATACTCAACCACTGAGCCATGTTGGCTAGACTATCCTATTTTCCTTAGACTTTATCTAATGGTTTAGTGTTCTATGATAATCATTGTTTGAATCAATTACTACATTGAGGGCTGCAAATTTGTTTTTCTAATTCTATCATTTCTTCTTTTATTAGCTGGCATTCACTCATAGAAAAGGAATCTCTCTCTCCCTCCCTTCCACTCTCCTTCTTTCTTAATGTCCCCACCACTATGCATTTACAGCTTAAAAAATTCAATGTGTATTTTATCAGCATTACTGGGGAGGGGTGTCCAAATTATCCCAAATTCGACCACTAGGAGTGCCTTCAAGCCTGTGCTTTTTTGACCTGACCCCATCAGTATTTCAGGACTTCAGAATTTTTTAATTCTCTCTTCTCTGATATATGTCTGCTCTTCTGATAGTCCTTCTGCCTCTCAAAGAGCAATATGGCTTCACCTCTTTTTAGTGTGTGGGTGCTGGTGGTGAATGGGAGGAAGCAAATATTTTCTGTCCATGGGTATTTTAAACATAACATCAAACATTTTGGTTCATCTTCACATCCTCTATGGAAGGACCTGTACCTCATAAAGATATCTGACCTTATGTACCAAGCACCATTCTAAACACTATCTATATTAATTAATTTAATCCTCAAATAATTCTATGAGGTGGGTACAGTCAGTTTCATTTTACAGGTTAGGACATAAAGGCACAGTGAGGTTAAGATTTGTCCATGTTCTCCTAACTAATAAGTGGTAGAGCCAGGATTGGAAGACAGAAACCTTTGCTCTAGAATCTTCACTCTTATCTCCTACACTTTGTTGCCTATAAACTTGTAACTGTCACTCTTCCCCTGTAGGCCATGGCATTGCAAACCTCCACCAGCTTGCACTCAAGCATATTCCAGTGGTGAATTATGTGCTCACCTGAGTTTCACTTTCTACACCAAATTTGGAACTCTTGTTATTCCACTGGTTTGCTAAAAAGTTTCTTCTCTTTGTAATGGAAATTTTCAGTTGAAAACAAATATATCACATCAAAGTTGCCATTGCAGTGGCAGCTAAGATTCTTAATAGTAAACTGCCTTTTGAAAAATTAAATGAAATTCCACATTTGACTTTCTATGCAAAGTAACTATCCACAAATGATGCAAAAATAGGCTAGTCAAGAAATAGTCCAGGCACATAACTTTTGAGCTGAGATCTGGGTGAAGAACATTCTCAGGCAAATGGAACAAGAAGTGCAAATATCCTGATGCAGAAACAAACTCTGTATATTCAAGTTAAAGAAAGAAGTTTATTATGGCTGATGAATGCTGACTGTGGAGAGGGAGGTAGGAGATTTATTTGGGGAGAAAGGCAAAGGTAGGTGTTTATAAAGTTTTATGCACCATTTAAGGCATGTAGGAATTATTCTTGGTATAATGTGAAGCCAATAAGGACATTTAAAAAAGAGAGCAGTTATCTGAGTTATATTTTAAAAGCTCACTGTGGTCACTTTGTAGAGAATGGATATTAAGGAAATTAGAGAGAAAAGAGGGAGACCAATTAGAAGGCTATAGTGCTTGTCTAGGCACCAGAAAGCTACCAAGACAGATGGAAGAAGTGGTCAGACTTAGAATTTATTGTGGACATGGAGCTTACAGGACTTGACATCAAATAAGATGCGAAGAAAGTAGTAAAGAGAGGAATCAAGAAAGAAACCTAGGATTGGAAAGAATCAAAACAATTCAGTGGGTGGTGGAGTCATAACCAGAGGAATGGATTTGGGATTGCAAATGAGTTCTAAGTTTGAGATGAAAATTAGACATCCATATAGATGTCTAAGAAAGATAATGAATACAAGGCCACAAATGTGCTGCTTGTAAAAAATGTTTCTCTGCCTGCACAGAGTACAAAGCATGCCAGTAAGAATCTCCCTAACAGTGTAAACTGTTAGATGACAGGGGAGGCTGCCTTTAGTGTGTTATGAACTTGATCACAGCAGTTGATTGGCCTGTTCAAGTACTTGTAGTTACAACTGTAAACTAATTTCTTTGAATTTAATAAATTTAAATATAAAAATGTAAATTTGTTTCTCATTCATTCATTAGCATCCTTGAGTACATTAGCTCAGTTTTATTTTAGTAACTTTTAAACTATTTTGACCATTACACACATTATAAAATAAATTTTACATCACAACCCAGTAGAGTCCCTGGAATTCTGAAAGAGTCTTCTACAAAATAATTAGGGCAAAGCAGTGACTCTGATCACTAACAATTCCACTATACATTCAGGCTCCAGGGCTCGATTGGTTCTTCATCTGAGTCTGATTCGAGTGAAAAGATCAGGTCCAATCAGTTGTTTACTGGGAATGAAGAGTTAGAGAGGTCAAGTAGGATTTCAAAATGTGAAGGGCAGGCCATGGTCAATGAAACTCTAGGGAAAGGCTCCTACATGAAAGTGAAAGAAGTAAGAAGAGATGGGGTAGTTGAGGTACAAAGAAATAAACCGATCAGCTGGCCCAGTAACTTATTGCCCTGCCTGGAGGAGCCTGTAGTCAGGCAAGTTCAGTAGAGAGTCAGAGTAGAGATCACATTTTCAAATCCTTCATGGCCTTTAGCAAAACACTTGATATTGCTGTTTGCATTCCAAAGAATCAGTTGGCTAACTTTAAGAAGTGACAGCTAACTCCTGGCCAACTCTGAGGTCTCCTGAAGAGCAACAGTCCTGTAAATTTCTACAACTAGTTTCTGCTGAAGTTAGAACAGGTGGTTTTCTTAGCATCACTTATAAATCATTATGTAAAATTAAAGGCAAGCCAGGTCCACATTCCTCAAGGAACCCTAAACAACACTTCAGCACTACTCTGTGCTGGCAGCAATCTCCCAAGCTGGTCGGCTAAATATAAGTGGGAGTCGTGCTCAAAAAGGAGCCAAAGCTGTTTGGCATATTGAGTGGCTCTCGGTTGGCCAAAAAAATAAATAAATAAATTACAGTGAAACCCATATACAAACACTCTACTTACTCTTAGGAAACAAACAAACAAACAAAAAACCCTGCCAGGTGGCTATCAAGATTGAGTTAATTATTTTGAGCTGTAGCTTAAGCACTCATTGAAAAGATGTAAATAATACTCTCCATTTATTAATAATTTAGGTATCTGGTATATCTTAGAAATAGTCCCATCAGGTAAAGCTCAATGAGGTTAAAGTTAACATATCCAGTGTTGCTAAGAGCAGCAGGGCTGGGATGAAGGCAGCTCTGTGTAACTTTGAACCTACATTCATTTCACCATGCCTCTCAGCCTCTCAGAGTCAGGGACAGTGTGTAAAATGTGCACAGACAATATCCAGAACAACTAAGAATCCCACCCATAGTTAACTACACCATTCCTTGTTCTGATTCCTGAGGCCTTGTTTAAAAATAAAATGTCTGAATGTGGAACAATGACACTCTTGCACGGGAGGATGGTCTTCTCTCCCAAAGTACAATATAGAATTTTGTCCTATGTCTAGAGCAGATGTTACTTCCCTCTGGCCCTGGCAACACGTGAATGAGAAGATTTGTGGGGACCTGGGATGGGCATGTATTGAATGCAAGTTTGGGGACCCATTTGCTGCCACTGGGGACTGAGGAAGACGAACCAGGCCCCTTTGACCCTAAAGCCTGTTATGGGGATGGGGACAGGGTTTAGCAGAGACTGCTCTTAAACTTTGGGTCTTAATGGACAGAAGTAGGAGTGGGACCTTAGCAGACCATGCTTACGTGTTTTACACACCTAGATGACCCCTGCAAACCTTCCCACAACAGGGAAAGGGCTGTGCAAAAGGACACTCTTAGGAGAAAATGACCTCTCATTATCAAACAAACTATAGTTCCCTGAAATTAGGACTCTCCCAGCATGATCAGGACATGTAATTGCTGTCTCCAAGGGTAGGAAACTTGGTGGGGATGCAGGGCTTCTGACTAGTACAACCTGGTTTGGTCTAAAGAGTCTTCTCAAGAACTTGTCCCACCAAGACCTTGACTAAGATAGGTTCTTTACCTTCATGCCAAAATTCCATTGTTGATCAAGTAATTAATAATATACTGAATTCCATTCATTTGAGAGGCAGCTTATAGATTTCAGTGGATAAAGGCCCATCATCCAGATACCTGTTTTCATCTTGTTCCCTGCCTACTGCTGTCTTTTGCATTTACTTCAAGCCTTCCTATACTCAAAGTTCTGCCTCTTTCTGGCTTTTTTTTTTTTTTTTAACTCAGGCTATGGAATGAACTATTTTCTAATATGCTGCTGCTTAGCTGTACAGTCTTGAAAAAATTACCTAAGTTCTTTGTTCCTCAGTTTTCTTCTCTCTTAAATGGGAATAAAAATTAGATCTACACTTCAGGTTTATTGTAAGGACTAAATAAGACAACTATGTATAATGCTTAGAACAGTCTCTGGCATAGAGCAAGCACTTAATAGATAATAAATGGTGTTATTATAGGTTTGTCAACGGCAGAGGAGAGCAGCCAGGTGTCAGAGTGATCAGTTAACACAGTGAGCCAAAATGAAGTTAGAATCAAGGTCTTAATCATTTACTGCAATAGTATAAGAAACTAAACAAAAAGAAAGTGCTGACTTCCACAATGTTCCATTTTTTTTCTGTGGAACAAGGCTGAGCTGGTGGGTAAGAACAGATATGAATCTCACTGTGAAAGGAGCCCACAACAAAAGGTTGAGAGGGAAGGGAAGGGCTAGGAGTGGAAAAGTACCGAAGACTCAGAGTGCACAAAAATGTCTCCAAGATCCACCCATTTCCCATAAGATGAAGCAGAGATATTGGCCAGAAGGAGAGGTCTCCAAATGGAAAAACCTGGGATAGGAAAGCAGATATGCATAAAAGCATGTCCCACTGAGGAGGCGGGAAGGCCTGAGTCCTTGACTCCAGCGCACCGCTGGGCACCAAGTCTGAACGGGGAGGGTGGCTTCCTTTATGCAGCCTGCAGGGTAAAGCCTTTATAATTGCCTATGGTAGCGCCTGGAAGGTTACTTGTAGGATTTTGGCCAGGAGTCAGTTTCCTTAGATTATTATTAATCACACGTGCACATGCACACACACACTCACACACATACGCACGCGCACACACGCTCCATTTGGAACAATTTAGATGCTGCTGAGATTTTTCTTGAGAAGAGAAAGAGCATTACTTCACCACAACTAATTTTTTTTTAAGAATTCTTAATAAATATTTCTGGCTTCCAAGGTTTTTTTCTCTTGTAATTCTTTTTAATTAGAATAAAATATACATAACATAAAATTTACCATCTTAATAATCATTTTAAAGTGTATAGTTCTGTTCTGTGAAGTATATTCACACTGTTGTGTAACCAATTTCCATAACTCTTTCATCTTGCAAAATTCAAACTCTGCACCCATTCAACAACTCCCCAATCCTCCCCTGTTCCCCTGTAACCCTTTTAACACTACCTCTTAGTTTTCCTGCTTCTTCCACTTTAACTTCTTTTCACCCCTATATGTGGAGCAATTTTTCCTCTTCATCATCCCTAAGATCAAACTTGGAATCTCAAATTTCTCCTGGTCTTCTGTCCAACAAAGTCCCCGCTCTCCACCGCCAGAGTTAATGGGATGCATCCCCTTAAAGGGGACATAAGCAGCCATCTCTAATACTAAGTATTCCCTTAAGAATCTTGGCTACCTATTCTAAGTGGCTTATCCGTTTTTTCCAAACATAAATTATACTTGCCCCATACAAGTGCTAGAAACAAAATTTCTTTTATTTCTTTAGAAAATGAAAGTATAGGGTCAAGGAATTCAGTGAGAGGAAAAGACTGCTGCCTTTAGAACCACACTTCTGGAACAATATCTAAGACCTTCTATCACATTTTCAAATGGATTTTTTTTTCTGGCTCTTTAGGTGATGTGTTGACATTCTTAGATTCTCACGTCGAATGTAACATTGGTTGGTTGGAACCTCTTCTGGAAAGAGTTTATTTAAGTAGAAAGAAAGTAGCCTGTCCAGTAATTGAAGTCATCAATGATAAGGATATGAGGTAATATTGTCATATTCCACAAGATCCTTCTAAGAGAGTCTTTAACCAACAGCAACAGAGAGTACTGGTCACACTCTTCATGTGGACATTTTTGCAAATCTAAGAAGTACTAAATGGAAATACATGATAGATACCTTGGGATCAGAGCAGGCAAATCTGTTTATTTGATCATTACAAATTCTGAACACTTAACACCATTGTTCAGTTCTTTTTTCTTTCTATTCAGCTGAACCAAAAAATATTTATTTTTCTGAAGATGAGTTCTTATTTTGTAGTAAATACATATATATGCTTGTAAGTTGTTGTTCCCTCTTATTTTGTAGTAAATACATATATATGCTTATAAGTTGTTGTTCCCCCTCAAAAATGTCCAGAACATTATTATTTTTTAAGTAGAAGTTAAAAATTAGCAATTCAGCCAATTGGTCACTAATGCAAATTGTACTTATAAATTTTCTTGAAATGTTATTTAAAAGTTTGTAATGATCTAAAATCATCTCCATAAGCACTTGTTTTATTCATTTAAACAAAACATGGTGTCGGGTCAGTTAAGTACATGTGTGTGATCTCAAGTAGCACTTTTGGTTTTTCCCTGGACTAGTTACATGACAGTGGACAACTTTCAAAGAGGCATCTTTGTGTGGCCCATGAACTTCGGTTGGAGAACAATTCCTCCGGATGTTGTTGCGAAAAACAAAATTAAAGAAACTGATATAATAAGGTAAGTGTGTGAAATTTAACATTAGGAAGCAGCCGTGTGTCTCTTTATAAAAGCATGGGAAGCAATTTCACAAAACAAGTATATCTTCCATTCAGTAGGACATCAAGAATTATAGTTGTAGCCAATAGACCAAAAATAAACAAAATTCTCCTGAGAAATTATTTTCCCATGACGAGAGCTCATTTTTCAAATGGTCAGTGGCACCCTAGTCAGCCTTGAACGCAGAGAAATTCACTAACGTGATTTCTGTTCTTTGGTATTTACAACCTAAGAAACATTAAGCTAGTTGAATATGCTGCATATATGCTATATAAACACACATAATATTAAACTCAACATGAGTAAAAACTAAGAGAGTAAATAATAGTAATAGAAGTATCATTATTATAATAATAGCTACTGTTAGGATTTTCTTTTTGAGTTTCGTCTTACCTTTTTCATGGGAGGGGTGCCAACTTGTGTGAATGAATTAATAAATAGACACAGAAGCTGGATATGAATTAAAACTGGGGCTTCGTTGCTGAAAAAGCTAAACTGAAGAACACAACCTATACCGGAAGCCAAAACGGAGACTTTCTAACTTCTTCCCCCGAGTCCAGCCCTGCAGGACAAGCAGGCAGCCAGCCTCAGGCTCTGCAGTGGGAGCTCTGAGCTTTCCCTGTCAGAGAGAGAACTTATGTAGATTCAAGTGAGCAAGTTCCAAGAGAAAGCCCAAGCCCAGACTGTGCATTGCAGCATGCTCTCCCTGACTTTATCCTCAATGAAGCACACTCATCCCTTGCCAGGTGTGCTGCTTTCAGGAATGATGCTCCCCGCCAATGAAGCAGGAGTACCGTTCTTTATCAAGCACTCTGCATTTAACCCACTTTATAACACTATGAGAAATGTGGCAGTATTCCCATTATAGAGATGTGAAAATTGAGACTTAAAAGAGTTAAGTAATTTTACCAGGGATATACAGATAGTAAGAGAAGAAATTGGGATCCAAACCCAGATCTGCCTGAATTTAATACTCTTGCTCTGATCTTGCACCTAAAGAACCTCTTTGCCTTTTTTTAGACTCTCATTTTAAGGGTCAGTGTAGTGGTTGAGTTCAGGTTGTACTCATCATAATGTTAGGAAGAGAATGTATTCTGAATAGTCTGGAAAGAACATTTGGGGTACAGATAATCCTAGTTCCAGGATCCACCTTTGCTGACCCGAATTAAGCTCTGCCACCATGGACCAGGGAACTCATCACTTAAGTGCTATTTATGACTCCACTTCAAGACCTCCCCATGCTTGGTAGCTATTCTGAAATACCTCCTAAGTCCATCACAACTAAACAGAGGACCTAGGCTAAAAGTTGAGCCCTTATATATGCAAGTGTAAAAAAAACAAACTTTTCTTTTTGTAGGTGCCCTGTCATGGCAGGTGGATTATTTTCTATTGATAAAAATTACTTTTTTGAACTTGGAACATATGATCCTGGGCTTGATGTTTGGGGTGGAGAAAATATGGAGCTGTCATTCAAGGTATTACCAGTTTCTCAAATTCTATTTACAACCTAGAGTTTATCATTTTAAATGGTTTCATTTTACTAATACAATCAGACATATGACTGCCTCTGGGGGAAAATTTCACAGAAATTTTAGGGCCTTTGGATTAATGTTTTCATATCTGAGATTGAATTTGGAAGATCAATAGTACTCATGAAATTTATTAAAGTTCTCTAATATTTCACAGCACTGTTTCCACACCTGAGCATGGGGGAAATAATTGTCTGCCATTCAGTGTAAATGCTGTAAGAGTCATACTTAATATAAGATAACTCTTTGGGAACATTTTTCTAATATATTGGAAGTAATGAAATCATTCAGTTATGGGTTATCTTGGAGAACACAAGTTACAGAAGTACAGAAAGTGACCTTAGGGCAGGCCATCGAAGGCTGTAGTGCAGCAACTTTGCACATATCAGACAACTCTGGGTATTTATACAATCTCTGATTAATATCTAAAGCTGTGGTGACAGCCATAGTGAAGACATCCAAAAAGCAACTGCTTTCCTATGGAGTGGGATGATATATAGTAAAAGGGGTATTATTTGAGTTCCAATCAAGAAGAATGGTTTTTGAGTTTTGTTAGGAAAAAAAGGAAATAAATACTCCTTTTCCTGATTCAACTAAAGCAGGAACTCATTTGACATCGTGAGATTCTGTGAGGATTTCTTTAGGAAAAAGAAATTTACATTGCAGAGGAGGGAAGGGAAAAAACGTATTTTACTAATCCTAAAATGGTCCACAGCAATATAAATAAACTAAATAAACTAAATAAACCTGTTGAGTTTAATCTTTTATTGAAGAAGATTTTAGAAGTTGGAGTACTACTTCAAACAGGGTCGGGCAGGGGAGTCGTCAGGTGGTTTCTTGTCACTGTTCAGGGCCCATAAGTTGTGGACAATGATTTGATAACTGAATACTCATCATTAAACTGTTCCAGGTGTGGATGTGTGGTGGTGAAATAGAGATCATTCCCTGTTCCAGAGTGGGCCACATATTCAGAAACGACAACCCGTATTCCTTCCCCAAAGACCGCATGAAGACCGTGGAGCGGAACTTGGTGCGGGTTGCTGAGGTCTGGCTTGACGAGTACAAGGAGCTGTTCTATGGCCACGGGGACCACCTCATAGACCAAGGGCTAGATGTCGGGAACCTCACCCAACAACGAGAACTTCGAAAGAAACTAAAATGCAAAAGTTTCAAGTGGTACTTGGAGAATGTATTTCCTGATTTGAAGGCTCCCATTGTGAGGGCTAGTGGTGTGGTAAGTTCAAGCAGCAATTCAAAATCTGACTCCGTAAAAATAAAACGCCAAGTACTTTTGAAAATGTGTAGAAAAGAATGAATTAATCATAAATAAATACGTTATAAATAAATACGAAGTATGAATGCAGATGAAACAAAGCAGTGTTGAGGATTAAATAAAGGTAAACTTGAAGGCTTCCAGGCAGCCATGTTCATCAATTAATCCAGCAAATACCTATTGAGAATAAATAAACCAGGCGGTGTTTTAAAATTGGATTATAGGATGGTGAATAAAGTAGACTTGACCCCTTGTTTGTGGAACTTAAAGTTGAAAAGAGAAGAACGATTTTAAACAAATAAGCAAGTAAAGTGTAAATATAATAGCTCTCATTTGGAGAACCTGCCACGAGTGAAGAATCCTTCTAAGTCAGAGTGGTCAACACTGAGGAGGTATTGAAGGCTAGGCCTGAAGACCAAGTGGAGCCAAAGCTCTAAAGGAGAGAGCCCCAGGTAGAGGATGCCCTTGTGCAAAAGCTCTAAGACAGGTGACCATCTGAGGCCTTCAAGAATTGGAAAAGAGATGAGTGCTGTCAGGGTATGAAGGAGGGAAGGGCACCAGATGAAGGTGAAAACGGGGAAGGAGTCAGATCACGTAGGTCCTTGCAGGCACAATAAAGGTCCTTCCCCC